TGTTGAAAAATAAAATTAAACGCGTCCAAAATGCCTAGAATGCATTTGAATGACTCGCCCAAAGCAAGAGCAATTTCCAAATTAGAAGAAGGTTGTCTCTAAGGCTAAAGCTAACACTATAGCAAATTGTTGCACATTTGATATTTAGCCATATGTGCATATGGAAAATCAAACAAAGATGGGATCAATTTTCACTCTATAGCACGGTTGGGTCGTTCAAGAGAGCAGAAGCCTCTCCACAATCTCCTTTTGCCATAGCTCGAAAAGCTAGCAAAGGCAGCATTCGTATTACACCTAGAAGGATTAAAGCGAGTGAATTGATAAATCTTTTTACTATTAAAAAATGTTTCAATCATATCACAATGGTTGAATAAGAATTATAATCGAGAAATCATAGGCTTGATGAACGTTACACTTATCATTTGTGTTAGCACCAGTGCTAAAAGCCTGGACGTTTGTTCTCATATAGAAGAAAAATTAACAGGATTATAATTACAAACATATCCCTGAGATTGTAATGTTGCCATCAGTGATGCAGAGATTCCCTAATAGCAACTTTATCTTCAATATGACATTGCGCGATGCATACGAGTAGAATTGTTGGAAGAAACTCATGTTAATGTTCTTCCATGGCCTTTCCGGAGTCCAGACGTTAACACCATCGAAAATGTGGATCCAATTGAAGCAAGGGAAGCAATTGAGCAGGCATGGGAGTAGGTTGTTAAATATAACATGAGGAGATTAGTGTTATCTATCAACAGAAGATTGCAAAGTTGTACCGACAATAACGAGGCTTCCAATTGGGTTACTGTTTATAATTATTTATTATAAAATAAAACCTAATAAGAAACTAGCCAGTAAAACAGTTTTTACTTCTTGGACTATATATAACGAATATTCCATTTGCAGTATATATAAATCGGCGGAGATTTCCTTAGAAGTACAGAACACTCAGGCTAGAACGCTGTAAATATTCTGGACATGAGCGGAGATAACATTTAGGGCCTGTACACATGAGGACTTTAGACGCCGCACGTTATAAAAAAAAGTGGTACCGTACACATAACAGAGCTTAACGCCACGGTTTACCGGAATGTCAACAGCCAGTACGGTTATGGAGTTAGCATATATTTGGTTGTTACACGGTAGATTCAAAGCAAGGCAAAGACGACAAAGAAGATGGTTGGTGCACCCTTTAATTAATGATAGATCGACCATGGGTTCTTTTGTGACTCTGCACCCCAAATTGAGAAAATATCCTCAAAAGTTTTTTAACTATTTCCGATGTTATACTCGTATAACATCGTTTGATGAACTGTTAATTTTATTAAAAGATTATCACCATGTGAAAATGCAGTAATGGATGGGATTTCACCTGAAGGAAAACTTGTATCATTAATTATATTAACTTTTTATAATCAAGTTTCTTTAAATCTTTTTTTTAAGGAACTTTTGTGTCATTTGGGAGTAGTTTTTTTTTTTGAACCTATTCTCTATCCTTCCATTGTTGGATATAGGTCTCCCCCAGTTCTCTCCATCTTTCCCTATCTTGAGCTGTTCTCTGCCATGTGGGACCTCCTTGTTTCCTGATGTCATCTTTCCACCTCATCTGTGGTCTGCCTCTGGATCTCTTTGCATTATATGGACGCCACTTTCCGATGGCATTGTTCCATCGTCCGTCTTTGAGACGTTCATTGTGTCCAGCCCATTTCCATTTCAGTTTTGCTGCTTGTTCTATCGCGTCTACTGTCTTTGTTCTGGTTCTGATCCACTGGTTACGTTTTCTATCTCTAAGTGATACACCCAACATTTGTCTTTCCATCGCTCTTTGTGCCTTCCTTATCCTATTCAAATTGGCCTATGTAAATGTCCATGTCTGTGCTCCGTAGGTGAGTACCGGTATGATACAGGAGTTATATACCTTGCTTCGTAAGTATAGAGGGATTGTTTGATTTTTTAGAACGTAAGAAAGTTTGCCGAACGCTGCCCATCCCATTCTTACTCGTCTCGATATTTCGGCTGTTTGATTTTCTCTATTAGCTCTGATTGCTTGTCCTAGATAGATATACTCATTTACCTGTTCTATTTTTTCTGTTTTTATTTTTATTGCCTCTTGGTCTTCCGTGTTTGTCATTACTTTTGTTTTGTTGAAGTTAATTTTTAGGCCAAAAAGGCCTTCATTGTTTTCATTGCCTTCATTGTTTTTAAACTTTTGTTCTTCTCTATGATTTTCTTAATGCGGTCTTCTTGGTATTTCTTTAAATCTTCCTTTATCTGTTTTCTTATGGTTTTATTCAGTTCGGTATACTCCACTGTATTTCTTTTGTTATCATTCAGTAGTTGTCGTCGTTTTTTTAGCATATCTTGTGATTTAGCGCTAATTTTTTGTTGTTTTCGCTTTTGTTTATTAGCAATCTTCAGACCTGCTTCTAGTAGTTCTGTTGTTATTTTATCGTTTAATTCGTCTAGTTGCAGACCCTTTAGCTGTGATATGTCACTTCTTTTTAGCTGGTTTATGTATTGTTCTTTGCGTTCTTTAAGAAGTTCTGTATCTATCTCTTTTTTAGATGGTTTAAATTTTTGTCTGTCTGTTGTGGAGTTAATTTTGATTTTGGCTCTAACAATTCTGTGATCACTTCCTACGGAAATCATGTTTATGACCGTAACGTCTTGTACTATGCTCTTTTCTTTCGATAGTTGGGAGTAGTTATTGTGCCTTAAATATTTAATCATGAGTGAAAATTATAAAGAGGGGACGACGCAAAAAAGAAAATAAAGATAATTGGAAGAAAACCGTTAAGATAGATTTCTAAAGAGTTTTTCCGTTCCCCATCTTAACATTTCGGAGAAAATCCCTTCTGGTCCGCTAACTTTCCCTAACTTAAGGTTCAAAACAGGTAAATAAGGGACGGATAGATAATCTAGTTCAACTCGCTGTAAGACTTCATCTCCTGTAGTTAGTAGCTGTACACTTACCCAACTTAGCTTGCTCTAAGCAAAACATGCATCTCTTGTATCCACTTTCGGTGAGAATTTTAACTATGCCACTAGGGTAGTAGGATCGTTGATCTGGGGTAAATTGACGCAACATCTCTGGCGGAAGGTCGTTAGTGAGAGAACCTGATCCGTACAGTTTTTGCCTGGGCGGAATCCAACTTGTTCCAAGGGTATAGTCAATAGTCGGTTCGCTAATCCTCGCTAGTCCCAACTGTCTAATGAACTTAGTAATTATCTTTTGCGACGTTTGTTACATTTTAACAGACTAGAAGTCGCTGAAAATTACTTACAACCAAGTACGTAAATTAAAACAATAAATTTTTTCATTCCATCTCACCCAGCAGGTCTATCTCAAGAGCTAAAAAAGCGAAGCAATTGTCATAGAATTGCAGATTTGACGTGATATGAATATTCCTTCTCGTATTGTTTACATTATCACCATTTGGTTGGTGTAAATATATTTTAAAAACAAAACTAAAATTAATTACCAATCAATATTTATTTATTTACAAGTCAATCAGAAAAAATTAACACAATGCGACATACTTCATTGTTGTTGACATTTTCGTGTGATAGAACCAACATAAACTTTGGTTTTTTTATTTTACAAAATGAGTATAATTCCCTATGGAAAGAAGATTTGGCAAAGCAAATAGTAGTAATTTTCCAACAACTGATGCCATTATGCATGATGGATATTCTCAAATTAAAGTTGATTTCATGTAA